TGGCTTCTTTTCTCATCCTTTGTTATTAGTACAAACCAGTAGAGCTACAGTCTTGACAGAGATTTCTGGTTTAATGTTAAGGTTAGACGACACGTTCCTCAAAAATATATCATTTTTTAAGATATTGTCATTGAAGAATAGGTACTTAAACGTTTAAGATTCCTCACAAAAAATAAGGGTACCTTACCAGCCATTTGGACAAGATACCAAAGGTTCATATTTCTTATATAACCCTTATTTGATAATCCTCTGAAAGGCCTATCTCAATTTTTTTTTTTTTGGTGTACCTATATTTTAAAACATTTTGAAAACAATCAGAAGAGAATGCTAAATATGAATATTTTTTTTATCTTATTCCAAGAGATACAAAACACATTATTAAGGAACGTGTCGTCTGATCTTTATACAAAAGGTAATGACCTTGACCTGACCTTGCCTCTAATATTAAACGGTCAAATTTATCCTTACTGATACCATCACAAATATTGTACTCTTGATTCTGTGAACATTCATTAATTTTTAAATACAAGAAATGTGAGAAGAATCCTACCTTAACCAATATAAAATATTTATGAATGTATTTAAGTAACCCCTACCCCATCCCATCCCGACGCTTACAAACATACTTTGTATCATTACTTCTCCTTAAATTGAAAACTTCCATTAAACTACAGCGTAGTTTGATCGGCTTTTTTTAATTTTGATTAGAAAGTCGGTGATGTCGATGTTACATTTTATTCACGGCTGGCGTAAAAACACTAATACATCCCTAAAAATACTACAGTAAACTATAGTTTACTTTAGTTAACTATAGTACCAAAGTAAACATTTAAAACTTAAATTTACTAATAATTGTGAAAACTTTGGAACTTTGATTTGCTATAGTAAACACTTTGAAACTTTGATTTAGTACAGTGAAAACTTTGGAATTTAATTAACAATAGTAAAGACTTTGAAACTTTGATGTAATTATGTTTTGATTTCTATTCTTAATATTTCATTTCATTTCAAGGTTAAGATTAAGAAAAAGGTTCCAACATTTTTTTAGGAACAGGACCGTTTTCCTAAAAGAATAATGTACAAGAAATGAATACTAGTACATGCATTAATAGAGAGGGTCTGTCTTGTATAGAAAAAAGAACTAATTATTTAAATTTATTTCATTTTAATATAAGTCAGATGTAAACTAAGTCTTATATATCGAAAGAAAAAAATATATCTCTGTCGAGACTGTAGCTCTACTCGTTTGTACTTACTTATAATAAAGGAAGAAAAAAGTAGCAATTGGGGCTTAAAACTTTATAAAAGCAATAAATAGAATTAAGGTCCTTAATTACGTCTATCTTTGTGGCAAGATTGCAATAAAACTACAACCGTAGTAATAGCTTTAAATAAAATTTTACAGAATTTTCAATTTTAGTTACCATGGCAACATCAATCAACAAACTCAAAAATACGAAACTGATAATAGTGTATGCCAGTATAGTCTACTTGCAAGCCAAATTATATTACAATCTGACTAAAACTGTAGGAGGAGTAGCATTTTGAGTGAATTTCACAGAAATTTCTTTTTTAGTAACCACGGCAACACCGTTGATCGAAATCAAAAACCGATATCTTTAAGTGTAGTCTACATGTGAAGTACGTTATTTAAGGAATCACTGTCTAGTTAGGAGAGTATGCCAGGGCATCAACAATAGTGGGACACATGGGATAATTTATCTCATGTTTCCCACTATTGTTGATGTCCCTGGAATACTCTCCTAACTAGACAGTGATTCCTTATATTACCAATTCATTGTGAAATAAAATTATATATTTATTCTTAAATAGTAGAGATAGATTTAAATTACACAAGGACTCCCATGCGGATTTCAATAGTCTTCGCCCACTGACGTCAGACAGAAAGTAAGCCGCACGAGATTTACATGCATATATTTCCTCCTCAGCGTCAAACACGGAGACAGATGCGCACGAGATATGCATGCGTTTATGACCTTCTTAGCTCCTGACCTATCGATCTGCCTAATTTACATTCCAGAGAATTGTCAAGAAATTAACTCCGGTAACTTTCAAAGGGTTATCACAGAGAAAAAAAAATAGAAATGGAAATATTCTGAAATAAAACAAAAAATGTTGGATAAGTAGCATTTTATTATATTGTTTCTATCTTAAGCATCTAAGGCAGAAATCAAAAAACCGATGCAGAAATTAAGTATCTTAGTGTAGTCTATTTGTGTGCCAAGTTATATTGAAATCAGTCCAAAACTGCAGGGGGAGTAGCATTTTGAAAAATTATTTACAGACAGACGGGCAGACAGACAGGCAAATATACAACAAAATGAAGCATGCGTCATTTAGAATTTTAAAAATATCAGCTTCATCAACTTCATTCGACATGTTTTTCATAATTTGATAATTATATACATGTACTAGTTTTCAAAATTGATTCTAAAATAATCGTTCCACAGTTACGTATTTCTAGTAAAACTGATGACAAATAAAGCATGAATGAATCTTTTCTCAAAATAATATATTATTCAATGTATTGCTTTCATTTGTATTCTTTGTGTTTTATATACTTAAACATAAATTGTTAATATTGATGTCTCTCTTTTTCGAAATTTGGAGAAACGAAGCAGATTAAAAATACAATTATAGTGAAAATTATATATTTATTTTTCGATATGTATATCTGAAACGTTAACAGTGATATGTGTTAAGCTGTATCAAAAAAAAAAAAAAAAAAAAAAAAAAAAAAAAAAAAAGTTTGGAATATTTAAAAACATTCTATATATTTTAGGTTGAGTATAAAAATCATTGTATCAAATTAAAATGAATTTAATTGCTTGTTTGCTTCTGTATTTTAGTAAAAAAAAATGTTTCTTTTAAAAGGATTTGAATATCATTTTATTTATCCCTTTGTTTGTATCTCTTTTTTCTAGCTCTCTGACTATCTGTCTCTTAAACATCCGGGGCTAAACGACGTTCCCTTGACTAGATAGAAAACACAGAAAAACTTCAATAATTACCATTTATAGAGCACAAGGGCATAAATAAATATTTTGACAAGTGATATCTCATTGTTCAGAAAAGGTGGATGTGTGTTTCTCTTAGATATAACAAGCAATTTCTAAATTTTATATCATTAAGGGTTGCAACTGCAACGCTTAATGATACACTAGTGTGTATCATTAAGCCTCGAATATGTCGATATTTGCTTGTTTCATTAAGCGTCGGTGTTGCACTGCAATTGTGACGCTTAATGATATAATTCTGTCATTAAGCGGCGATTTAGCATTAGCGGTTGATGATGTCAGCTATTAATGCAATAATTTATGGCATTAAGCGTTGCAATTGCAACGCTTAATGCTATTTGTATCAGTAAGCGGCGTTTTATCATTAGAGGTTGCTACAAAGCCTTGTGGGGAATGGTTGTGTATAAAGCTGAAAAGTCGCAAGTTTTTAAGCTGTCGATTTTTGGTAAAATCTTGTGATTTCAAATTGTCCGAAAGTTCTTTGGAATTCTTGAGTATCCACACCTGATTCACACCACTTCTTGAATATATCGTTGCAGAGTTCTCCTGAAGTTTATCCTTCGCTACTGTCAATACCTTATTGAGGAGTAAAGAAAGAGGCTTGGTTGAACATTTACTAGAACCCGCAATGTATCTTTGTTTGTGAGGATTCTTACGAAGTTTTAGACTCCAATATATAGATGGTAGTTCAAAATCATTTTGGTTCTTCGAGATATTAAAAATATTCCATACTGACATATATGATTTTGAAGAATTTCTTCCTTAGAATGGGAACTATGAGTATAAATTGGATTAACATTTGTATAATTAAAGCCAGGTTCTTCTAAAATACAATTATTATAATGAGCCTTACAAACTTTGTTACTTGCTTTGTCAGCAGGGACCAGTACATACTGATCAGGTAATCTATCTTATTCTTTTTTCAACTTCTGGATTATCGAATACTACGGAAGCCCATTTAGGACCTGTCAAAAAATATTTTTGAATTCGTTATAACGATTTTTAGAATTCATTATAACGAATTGAATTTGTTATAACAGATTCATTGAATTCGTTATAACGAATTTAATTTTTTATAACAGATTCATTGAATTCATTATAACGAATTTAATCTGTTATGACAGATTTGTTGAATTCGTTATAACGAATTTAATCTGTTATTACAGATTTGTTGAATTCGTTATAACCAAATTCTTGAATAGGTTATAACGAATTCAACAAATCTGTAATAACAAATTAAATTCGTTATAACGAATTAAATAAATCTGTAATAACAAATTAAATTCGTTATAACGAATTCAATGAATCTGTAATAGCAAATTAAATTCGTTATAACGAATTCAATAAATCTGTTAAAACAAATTAAATTCGTTATAACGAATTCAATGAATCTGTAATAACGAATTAAATTCGTTATAACGAATTCAATGAAACTGTTATAACGAATTAAATTCGTTATAACGAATTTTAAAAATCTGTTATAACAAATTAAATTCGTTATAACGAATTCTAAAAATCGTTATAACGAATTCAAAAATATTTTTTGATAGGTCCTAAATGGGCTTCCGTAGAATACAGAAGGATGCGACATAAGAATCAACTCCTTTCTCCGCAACTCTAGAGCAGACGCTCTAATCACTGCGCCACGCGGGCGATATGCATTATGGAATACTTATAACACGTCTTCGGAAACTTTTTTCTCGATAAATTTCAAAATGTTTTAATGTATATGTGTTTACATGGACGAGAATCCATAGCAATAGATTATCTGTGTGACTCAGGTGACCTAAAAATTGAAGTAGTATTCACATTTAAAAATATACTCTCCGTACCTTACTGTTGCACACTACACAACACTGCATTAAACTGATTTTGGGGTATCAACATGCTGATTAAATATCGATAATTAATGCAAAAGCAGATCCACAATATACCAGTTCATTTTATGGTTATGAATCTTACCTTTACCAAGTAGAAAAACGGAAGAGAGTATAGAAGCAAAGCATCCATTTTACATACAGACATGTCTAAAAATATATTCACGGTTTCCACCTTGTCACGTAAATAGAATTATAGGAATTCCTGTTTTCTCAATGTGTTCTATTTATAATTTTCATTCGTTTTCAGAAAATGACTGTGTATATAGCATTTGAAACTGTTACACTGTTATATAACGACGCAGTTATTTTTTTTAAATTAAATCAATAACAGCAGACGATAGATTGGTTTCAAAAAGATATATGTGATATCTACTTCTTCGTGTTCTTATTAATATAAGTGAAAACATTTCAAGATGTCGGATGAATCTGTCACGGAAAATGACAGTCTCTTAATGAGTGAATACAAAAGAGAAAATTGTGAAGGAATAACAACCTTTAATGAGACAAGTGAATCTGATCCTATCAGCCTTCAAAATCATCTCGATAGCGAGACCTGTGTTAAAATTCCTTTGGAATGCACGTCAGACATTCAAGAAGAAACAGATATTTTTCCTAGTGACAGTACTGAAATTCAAAGTTCTGTCCGAGGGCTTCCCCCGGGGAAAAAGTATCATATTTTCACTTCATGTTCTTCCGAAGATATCGAAGAAGTAAACAAATTATGCGAGGAATTGGAGAAAAGATTCTATCTCAGATGCATGCAGTTTGAGAGAGATTTTGTGGCTGGAAAACGTTTGGATGACAATATTCATTCCGAAATGACAAAAAGTGTGAAAGTATTAATAGCATTGAGCCCAGCCTATATTAAAAGTCACTGGTGCATGAGAGAGGCCGATGAGGCTGTTCAATTATCCTACTCTAACAACGAAAAACTAAAGATTATACCTGTTCTATTGCGCTCAATAGATGAACCTGATATGCCACCCTTTCTGAAGAAGTACAGGTATATAGATGCACAAAAGGAAGAAGACGTAGCAGCAAAGATAATGGATGCATACTATCATTCAGGTTTAAATTGAAGTAAACTATATAGAGCTTTTTGATATTTTTATGAATAAAAAAAATCATTTTATGAGTAAGCATTCATGTATTGTTGTATGATGTGGTTTAAATTAATTGTTTCAGAGGCTGTGGATAAAATCTTAATTCAAGGTGAACATGGTATGTTTAAAACACGTGTACCTAAAGTATATCACATTTACTACATTTGAATTTGAAGGGGCTGTAGAAAATTGAATTCTACTGGATAACATTTTTAAAAACATTATCATATGAGCATGTAATTCTAAACATTAAGGTATACAATGTTGTAAAGCTAGAAGTAATATCCATTTAAGAAGATTCCTGAACAAGAACGTACCAGTTTAACATACAGAAGTTATTACTTATATTTACATTTATAAGACTGACTTATAAAGTATATTTTGTACAATATGTTTCAAACCCATTAAATGATTTACGTTTTCAAACCTAAACGCTATATTGAATTTGTGGAACGTTCCTTGTTTTAAATATGGTGTTGTGAAAAGGAAAACGTAAATGTAAACATTGTATTAAAATAATACCAAGACAATCATTTTGGAAAGTAAAAAGGAATGGTAAAGCTTGGAAGGGTAGGGAGAGAGAATGGCCACTGTAAAATCTAACTTTCCAATAAAGTAGTAGGGGAAGCCTCGCTTAATAAAGGGGGAAGAGAGCGCGAAAAGGGGGGGGGGGGTCGTACAGAAGAGTAGATTAAAACAAAAAAACATTCCATACATACAATGTATATAACAATCCATGCATCCGTTTTTTTGTGTTTGTACCATAAAAAAAATGTGATGATTACATTAACAGAATTTTTGACAATTAATAGATACAAGAAAAAAAAATGTTTAACACGTGTGATATTTATAAGGTTCCAATAATTAAACTTGGTTTCTTTTTGAGAATTTTTATGAATTTGGAATGAAAAATAAGAACCTTTTTCTTGCATTAACAAGGATTAACAGCGGAAGAAATCCAGAATCAGAATGGGGCACGTCTGATGTCGAAGACATTTATACAGCAACATCCATACAGTGAAAAAGGCTATGTATTTGAAACTGAAAGTCTTACTTATAATGAGCGAGAGTATTTGAAAAACATTCATGAAAAGGTAAGAATGCAATATTTTCAGTCACTCAGTATTTTTTATGTACATGTATACAAGTGTTACATATCTTATTGTCCCCCGCTTTCGCGAAAGCGAGGGGACATTAAATCTCATTCGTCGGTCCGTCTGTCCTTCTCTCCGTCTGTCTGTCAATCAGTCTGTCCGCCCGTCACAAAAACTCTAACCTTGCCCATAACTTTTGATTAAGTGGAGCTATGGCTTTCATATTTCACTTGTGTATTCCTTTTGACAAGACCTTTCTTTAGGTACCACCAAATTTGACCTTTTGACCTTGACCTTGGAGTTAAACCCACTTTCACACAAAAATTCCAAACTTTTACTTTGGCAATAACTTCTGAATGGTAGGTACTAGGACTTTTATATTTCACGTATGTCTTGTTTGTAGAAAGACCTTTCATTGGATACCAACAACTTTGGCCTTTTGACCTTGACCTTGGAAATTTATGTACTTATGTAAAAACTTTAACTTTGACCAAATCTTTTGAATGGTAAGGGCTAAGGATTTCATACTTTATGTATGTAATCCTTGTGAGAAGATCTTTCATTAAATACGAAGAACTTTGATCCCTTGACCTTGACCTTAGAGTTTGACCTACTTTTTAAAAATTATAACCTTGGTTACAACTTTGGAATAGTAGATACTGGGACTTTCATATTTCATATATGTATTCTTTGTGGCAAGACCTTTCATTTGACACCAACAACCTTGACCTTTTGACCTTGATCTTGGACATTTTTTGTACTTATAAAATACTTTAACCTTGACTATAACTTTTGAATGGTAAGGGCTAGGGCTTTCACACTTCAAATATTTAATCCTAGTGAGAACTCAAGACTTGACATTGGATACAAAGAACTTTAACCCTTTTACCTTGATCTTGGGTTCAGTGATGATTTCTAAATAAATGACATGATCAGGTGTTCATATTACTTACAATACGTCATAAAAAATGACATCTCACCCACAATGACACCGAAAGCGGGGGACCACAATTCCTTGAATTTGCTTGTTATTTCTGTATCTGATTTGTATAGGCGTTAGTGTAAAAGAATTAGCCATGGTCATTCAAGTTGATAATACACATATCTTTTTTTATATCTCATTGAAGTATATTGGTTTACAGTGTGAAGAACAATTCGAAGCAGCTGAATGTTTGGTTTCAAGTCAGCGTCTTCTGAAGTTCTACAAGATCTTTGTTTTAACTAAATTTACTCACGCTGCAGCCGTTCTCTTGGCTGCTATTGTGGTGTCCTCTATAATGACGCTACAATACGTAACTGTACTAGTCAGTAGAGATATCAGGAACACTTCAAGCGCGTCATTCCCCTTAGGAGTTTTGCTTGGATTCGTGCTATACATCATATTTGTCGTAGCAATATTCGTCTTACGTAAAAAGGTAATCTTTAATTTTCAACAATATTTTAAAATGTTTACTGATTAAAAGTTTAATGATTTCAAATTGATATGGATATTTAATTCTTTTACATCTGCAGCTGAAAAACAATATAAGAAAGAAACTCTGGGAATTTGTGAACAAAAAGTATTTCCGGGAGACAAAATGCTTGATTGTGTATGACGATGTCATTGTTCGACAGCCTTGTGTATCCTCTGAATGCATTAAAAAATTAATTATGTGTCTTTACAAACATAAAAAGTGTCATGATTCTAAATTCACATGCAAAAAGTAAAATAGATTGCAACTTTTTATCTCTGAAATAAATATATAGCTGCTTTTTTGCGTCATTCCAATCTCATTTTTGGATACGTTTATAAGAGTACTCTTTAAATAAATCGAAAAAGAAAAAAAGTGTACTATTCGAATAAATGTACTATTCAAAATAATAGTAACAATTTACCTTAACTACGAATTTCAGTTGATGCTTATTCGCTACAATACATCACCATGCCAGGTATATCTCATTATTGTACTTTTTAATGATGGTGGTTTCGAGATTTTTTATGTTCATGTACAAAAAAGCGTAACTGAAGATATCCTTAATCTTTTTCCCTTTCACTCTTGTAGGAATATGTAACTATTCTTCTGGACAAAAAGTATTTTCATTTGGATGAGGAAAAAATTCAGGTATGAAGAAGCCTCAAAACACAGAATGACAATATGTCATGTTAATTCTTTCAGTTACATAGTTTACATGAGTATGAACATTTTCGTATAAAATATAACTCATTTTGCCAAATTATGTTCTTTTATATATATTTATATATCAAACTATGTTAATTTTAATTCATGCAAGATCTAATTTATTTTCTTTATAGTCTAAGGAAAGAGTTTTTACCGTTATTAAGAAAATAACAGAATAAAGAACTTTGCAGCGAAATTGCGTGAATCTATAGTTTGCATAAGAAGCATGCCTTAAACCCCTTGAAACTACCTCCAAAGAATGAAATGTATTGTTATGATATTATTTTATTATTTATTGAAACATTATAATTATTTTCAAGGCAATGGCTGCTGAGAAAATTGAAGAAAAATTGGAACAATTGCAGTGTTTGGGACTTTTGGCGGAATGGTACCAGTTAAGTGTGTACACTTATAATCGCCATAATACCTGGCTAAGAAAACAATGTCTCTGTCAGTTATTGGAGGGAAATCTCATCAAACGGAAAGTCATAACCGTATAATGAAGCAACATTCTTTGACATGTCCGACGTAACTTGATTCTTGAAGACCTTTTGGAAATCCTCCGCTTGCTATATATTTTTTTCAAGTGAATTCTTAGCTGTTTTGAGAAGATAGTTATTATTATATCTTTTGATTAAACACAGTTGTTAATGATATTTGATGATTATGTACCCGGTATTCTAAAATTATATTAAAAAATGCTTTTTTTTAATATCATACGAGTATAATTGTTATTATTTACTTTCTAATAAAAAAGGGTAAATTCCCTTACTTTTCTATCTTTTATATTATATTTATATACTATTTCTTTCTTTTTTCCATATGAAAAATGTTGTATTGAAGACTGATTAAATTGTATTGGTTTATGTATTTCTATTTGTAAGCCTTTCATCTTCAACTTTCCTCATTTATGTATTGCAATATTCCACTATGACCTACATATGGCGTTTATATCTCCTAAATTATTGGATACTCAAAAGTATATTCCAAGTATAATCAATTTTTAAACCGGAACAGAGCACTGCCAGATGGAGTTGAAGTTACAAGGATTCGAACAATATATTTTAATAGGTACGTAGCATTTCGTTAAGTCTATAAATTAAATCGTCATAATCTTGTTAGTATTAAAAATATTAATAACAAATCATTCAAGGTATAATTTGGCTGACTTGTTACATACCAATTGTTAGCTTTTTTAATACTGATTATGACTACGAAATGTTCAAGTCTACAATACTCTACATGATGAATACAGAGAGCTTACGGTGGGTAGGACCTGTCACCGGACTCCTCCTACTGGTACCTTGCCCCACTTCTGGAATTATATACCATGCAGGGGTTCGCGCATTGTGTTTTCTTTACAGATTTGTATTCTTTATCTTTTCTTTTTTTTCGATCAATCACTTTTAAAATTCTTCAACTTTTGTCCTTGAGGAATTCAGTTTAGTGTGTACGGAATATCGAAATCACCTCATTGACTGAAATTTTAAAAGTTTTAAAAACTTTAATCTTTTTCAAAGAATTTCATCTTAAGAATTAAGTAAACTGGGTGTATTTATAAGTCTTTGTCTTTATTGAAATAAAACAGTCACTGGTGTAATGACTATTTCAATGCTAGAAATCCAACGAAACTTAGATCAGCAGCAGGAGGAATGCATTTTGTTATTGGTGTTGTAATTTTTTTCATGCAATTTTATCAACATATGTCTGGTTAAATAATTCTTTAAAGATTACATAAAAGTCATGCGTTAAACATTACTTAGCTGCAGAACAATATAGGGTTAATGATATGGGTTTATATTTTAGTCTTGAATATATATTGTCAAAGACTAAAATGTAAAACCATAATGCTACCGTTCTGCTGCAAGTCTTGATTGCTGTAAATTAATTGTCAGTTTTATTTTCAGGTAGGTGTATAATTGCTTGAAATCTACATGTACATGTATATAAAAAGAGATTAAAATTTTGTTTACGGCCGAATTGATATTTACTAGTACTTATAATTACACTTCTTCAGTGGATTATTAGCTTTGTTTCCCGAGATTTATTCAGCATATCTCATAATACATGTTAGATCAGAGTATAAATCTCTCTTTTTAAGGTAAATTAGGGGGGATGGCATCGTCGTAAACCACAGCCAAAATGTACGATCCTCTCCCAAAAGCTGTATGCGGACTCCGGAGCGTGGCTTGAGACGATGGTGGGGGATGTTAACCGAATTCTTTCCTTGGACTCTCAGATAAAAAATATTTAAATCCATTACTTGATGTAGAGCTATATATTTTCATCAGGTTTATGTTTCTGCTAAAAACAATCGTCAAGATCAAATCGTAAGTCTGTCCGTTACTACGTGAGCCTAACCCCGCGGGTCGTTCACGCATCAATGTTTTTAAGACTGCAATCGCGAGTCTGTGGTTCTTTGTTTACATATAAAGGGAGATTCCTGCAGTGTGTTCACATACACGACAGACAAAGGCATCGGTAAGATTCCATGATTTTTTAAGTCTGATGTTGAGGTTTGATGTTATAATATAGTGACGAAAGTAAAGGGAAGATAGAGTATCTAGGTGCTGCTGTACAGAAAATAAATTCCAGTGTTTTCATGACAATTTATGAATCATGTGAATAATGTACCCTTTTTGTTTGCTGAAACTGAGAGAAATAGTACATGTTTTGTACTTAAATTTTAGAGTTGTGCAATTCTTATAAACAGATTAAAGTGTTGCAGCGTATTGTAATGAATTTTTCAGGGCACAGCTAGTTTATTCATTGTAAAACCTTTGTTGCCCTCACAGGGGTAATGGTTCAGTGACCTACTTATGTCCACACGTGTAGATGTAAGCACAGGCGGATTAAAAAAAAAGGCTGTTTCTGATAACGTTTAGAAAAAGATTCTGCATTACAAATATCTTCGGGTAACAGTAGCTCGTGTTGATGTGAAAACTGTAGCGACTTTTATCAATGCATAACTATACTAGTATGTATAAACTTAGGCCATATCAACACAAAGTGAACCATTAATTTTATTTTAACCAGAAACCATTAGAGAATCCATTTTGTAATGTAACATGAATTGAAACTTCCGGTACTTAATTTTCATGCGAATTTATAACATTCAATGCATTTAAAGTACATTTTCCCTCGTATTTCAGGGTAATTTAGGAAATATAGTACTATTAAATAGTTTCATAATTTTCATCCGTCATCTTTCTTATCTTTAAACAGATCTATATATATAAATACCTAATATAAGTATATTCAGGTAATATTATACATTTCATTAATTTGTGAATGGTAACTTAATGATTAAAATCTTACCAGGTTACATCATCACTACAGCTTAGAAGCGTTATATCTTAGTCTTTTATAACCAGTTAGTTTTTGGTTATATTAAGTCTTGAAACTTATTCCTGGACCATATCCGTTGTTGAATGTAAATGGGGAAGAAGGAATGTTGGCGGGTATAACAAAGTAGTGGCGCTGTGGGGCCGTGATAAAAAGTAAGGGGCAAAGGTGCCGTATTCCTTATGGTCTTCCAATATAAAGTCCAAGAATTGGTAAATCGGGTTTCCAAATTTATTAAAGACGATGGTGAATAACAAACATGAATTTTAACAATATCTTACGAGACTTAATCGAGTTGGATGTGGCCGGTAGAGCGTCGGGCCTCCAAACTGAAGAGATTATAATGGACATAGATATTTGTAAGATTAAGAGTAAACAATAATTGACGTTCGACACTAGTTGAGTTAATTGATGGACAGGCGTGTTTCTTTGATAGAATGAACATGAAAGAGGTTATAAGTAATTATTGGTAAAGGATTTTAAACAATTCCCGAGGCATTAACACCTAACGAGCAACAATTATTTTGACAGAGTCACAGAGTGTCAGTTGGAATGTCTTAGTCCTATTTCAAAGGGAATGAAATAAATAAGACACAATTTACTACAAATAAGCACATATTAAAAACAGACAAAGCATTTCACAGATAAACGTCCGAATTTAGTAGAAAATATATTAAAAAGTTATTTTAATTCAAAAATGTTAATTTTGCTCAGTGATACTTTGATCATTACACTGTGGATAAGTATGGTCCAAGACATACACGTAATGATATAAAACCATGATGCTACAGTTCTGCAGCTTTCATTGCTAGAGACTTTCTTTAACGGTAGTTTGAGAAAATGTTTGTTTACAGAAAAAATAACGAAGAACTTTGCTAACTATTCCATCGTGTTCATTGTTTTTACGCAAACTATTGAAAATTAACCAAGAATATATAATTTTGGATGCGTAAATCACCGATTCTTGTTAAAAACACTTCATTTCAATTCCAACTGCATTTATATATTCCTCGAAATTTGTCTCCTCAATCTGTTTAAGCAAAAATTTCATTTAATAAAGTTTGTGAAATCATCTCTCTCTCTTTCTCTCTCTCTTTCTCTCTCTCTCTCAGGATGTCATTCAAAATCATTTTACATTCTAACAAAACACCTTATTTATACATATCTTTTTTATGCAGAAGAATGGCTTCCAAATTTTCTTTTGTCTCCTTGGTGCTTATTGGATTGACCTTGACATTTTGGACAGTCGCCATGCTAACACCGGGTTGGCTTGTTGTGTACATCACCAATGAACTCTACCCAAAGGGGGTAAGTTAAGAAAAATGATATTCAGTTCCTTGCAATGTATCTTCATTGATTGAACACACATTGAATTTAAGTTTTAGGTTAGCTTTAGTGACCTTGAAATCGTTTGCTCTCTGACACTGTTTGTCATAATTCATCATTAATCGTGTGTTTATTGTTAACTAAAGTCTGTTCTAAAACAACTAAACCTAATTTTAGCAAATGTGGTGTAAGGTCTTTAGCATGTTTTACTGACGGGGGCATACATTGTGTATTTTATAGTCCCTACAATTGTAGCAGTGGGGAAAATTTCTACAAATCTTTTTCCATTTACATTTTCCAAATCTCTTTTCTTTACTTTAGAATACGTTAAACATCTTAAAAAGGCGAGACTCATATGAACATTGGTTTAAAGTTCGGCATACAATGTTGCTGCACAGTTTGAACACTCGCTTTCTTTTGTATTTTAGATGAAGGGAGCCTTCAGTATATTTTATTATCAGATGTGTTACCCTTCTGATGTGTGCAAGACGGATTCCTTATCCTCTTCCAAGGAAGATGACTCCTCCTCCTCACCAGGCATGCGTAAGCTCATTATCGTTATAACTAATTATGTTATATTAATAATAAAATTTCAAGTTATGATTAAATGATATTTTTCATGATATTGTTCAAAGTTTACTTTCTACGCTTTGTTAAATTTCTTTTTTTTTTATTCTATGAGTGTACATGTATATATACAATGTAGTTTCACTGAACTTCAAGATAATCTAATGCGGATGATTTCGTTAAACTTTTCAAGTGCACAGAATATTTTAAAATCTGATGTTCCTGTTTCCTTTTTAATATAGAGTAAAGAAAAAACAAAAGCTCAAAATCTTTCTTATGAAATTTAATAAATTAATGTACAGACATTGGATTAATTCATGCTGCACTTACGTATGCTGTACATAATAATTTCTTCCCTCAAAATTCGACAATCTCAAAATGAATAGTATTCTACCCATGAGTTGAAAAGATATGATCTATATAATAAAGGCCCCTTAAAAATGTATGCCAACAGCAAAATTAAAATAATTTTAAGTCGAATATATACGTACAATCAGTGCAGC